GGTTTTTATTTCAATTCTTCATTTAAAAGTTTGCTTAATTTCGTAGGTTTAGACACAAATTTTTATAAAGGTCACAGTTTCAGAATTGGAGCTGCAACATCTGCAGCTGCCAGAGGTGTGCCTTTAGACTTGATCCAAAACATGGGTAGATGGAAGTCAAACGCTTTTCAACATTATATTCGACTTGATAATTTTCACACTTAGCTTAAATATAATCACAGTCGCTTACTAAATGCTTTGGTAGAGGTCAACATGGCTTGCTTTACCTTATTGTGATTCATTTTTTGCAAGGAGTAACAAGACTGTTATATGTTAGAATTATTTACTACTGTAGAAGTCAACATGGTTTGCTTTGCAAATTTAAGTTTTTGCTTTCAGTCATTTATTATATGTAATGGTATTTATTTGGTCGGTAGAGGTCAACATGGCTTGCTTTACCTTTCATTTACATGTTTCATTATATTGTATATATATTTTTTTGTTTTGTTTTTAATCTTTGTTTTTATTTTTGTAGAGGTCAACATGGTTTGCTCTACACTTTTGATTGGAATACAAAAGTTAAAAGGTGTATATTTTATTCCATTTTGGGTGTTTTTTGTTGAGGTCAACATGGCTTGCTCAATTTGTCTAGTTCTGGAGTTCCTTAAGTTGAATACAGAGTCCTCGGATGGGGATCCCTCTGGGGATTTGTGGCACTTTTTCAACCCCACCTTTCCTTATTCAAGTCATTGTCATTTATGCAGTACTATTATAATTGTTAAGATGTAAGTTGCATTTTAAATTAATTTCTGAATAAATGACATTTTACTCAACTTGTGTTTTATTAACAGCAAACATAGCGCAGACTCTTTGATCAAGGTCATTTATACAAGGTTTTCTCGTTGTTATCTGTGTCTAGGAACATAAGCTGACAAAACGGATAATAGTGCTATTCATTCATCATCCAGTTGCAGTGTTAGATTTATCATATTGGAGATATAAGACCTATGACGGAGTTAATATGTCCATAACAGCTAAGAAACTCATATACTGTAAACTAAAGTAAGACGACAAATGGAAAATCTACCAAGGATGGGGGTGGGGGGAAGGGGGGTGGGGGAGTTCGGACCTTTATCGGGACTCCGGGATCGGGTGATTTTAAGCTCGGGATTTCGGGATTGATCCTTTCAGGATCCGGGAATTCTTTTTTCGAATTTCGGGATGTCGGGATTTAAATTTCTTTAAATTCGGGACCTCGGGATTTCATGCTTTTAAACATTTCGGGATCAGGACCCTCCGACCCCCCTCAAGGATTGAATAAAAAAAATAACGTCGAGAAAGGACAAACATTATCGTCACAAAAGAAAAAAGATAAAAATAGAACTGCCCAAAACTGTTCTAGGGGAGAACTGTCTAAAAGTTTTCTAGGAGAGAACTGTGTTCTAGGAAAAAATGTCACAAAAAATACCGAAATCCAAGGTAAATTCAAAATGGGGAAGTTCATGATAAAAAGACAAAATCAAACTGTATCAACCAACGGAACGAGGGAATAGAACTGTTCAAACTGTTCTCAAACAGAACCGTCCAAAAGTACTTTAGGGAGGGACTGTCGTTATCTAAATTAGAACTGTCGTAATCTATACTAAATTTGAACTGTCCAAAACTGTTCTAGAATAGAACGGTCAAAACATTTTCTATGAAAGAATTGTCAAAAACCATTTTTTTGGTATAGCCGCTCTTGTAAGAATTTGTTCGTAAGAGGCCAGTAGATTTACCTGATCTCGTCCAGTTCTCCCGAAGTGCGTGACTGAATTTAAGAGAGGTAAGAACTGATCCAAATTGTCCTAGTAAATACTTTACATTATTAACTGTGAGATAAATTTAAATGTTCTTTTGGCATTTGTTTTCTTGCTTTTGTTGCTCAGACTGAGACATGTAACTGTATGTATGGAAAGACTATGATTCTGTTAAATATGTTCAGTATCGACCTGATGAGAAGGTTGAATTTTTGTAATGCCTTCGTCGTTGTATAAATAATGTTTCGCTTAGTATACACAACTACCTGGGTCAGTTGTAATATACTTGTTTTAAACTATTACTAAAAGTCCTGCGGTTATTGTTTCGCTTGTAAATGTACGTTATGACAACAGTTGCATAAGAGTTTAATGGATTTAAATGGTGCTGCCCTCTGCAAACAGTTGAAAAATTCCTGGAATTCATTGTTTCAAAAATTGTGGTTCAGTGTCTTAAACCTAACCTTTTGACAGGTATTCAGATCTTCTTAGCCTTTATTTAAAATGTTTTGTTCATATATCGGATATCTCAAAAGTTTCAACCTACCGTCGATAGTATTCGTATGTTTTTTAGTTTGATACAAGCAAAAATCCATGACTTGAAAATGAAAAATGGGAACTAAACATTTAAATTGTCCATTGTTTCTCATGGCAAAACTAAATTTTCAGAAGATAATAAAATCATTACAATGCAATGAAATAATATCAATAACATTACCTGTACGGTACATTATCTCATTTTAATAAATACAATCTCTCTTCTGTGATCCTTCCATGAGTGAAGTACTACTCTACACACTTTCTAGCTGATATTTCGTTATTAAATGACTTATATTTATCTTGCCCACATAACACCAATATAGGACAAATCTCAATTTCCAATTTCGTAAAATAATCAAAACGCAGTAAAGCTTTTAAACTTGTAACGAGAACAATTAAAAAGTATACAGAATTTATTTTAAACTACAATTTTGGAAAATCTATTCTTACATAGAAAATAAATGAAATAATTGAGAAGTTATTTAAATTATGTCTCTTTCTATTAAAGAACACTTAGGTTACACACTAAAATTAAAAAATCAATATTTTTTATTGTTGTTGGCGTATAATGATTTTGAAAATAAAGAGATGTGGTATGATTGCCAAAGATTTGAACAATTAAAAATCACCGTCCGGCGTCAACAATGAGCTTAACGCATACCGTATAGTAAGCTATAAAAGGGCATGTGATGACAAAGTGTGAAACCTTCAAAAGGAGAAAACCAATGGCCTGAATTATACTTCAATGTTTTCAAACGGAATCAAAATGGCAGACAGCAACCAACGATGCAGCCAATGTTTAAAGAAACAGCTCATTCATAATACATGTATGATCCTAACGGAAAATATATGTACATATAGTAGATACGCCATGACCTTAATATTCACTTTAACTGAGGTATATTACTAAAGTACTGCTTCTTATTTTCTTTTGTAAGATGTATATTACAAATGTATATGCTATACCTACAAATACATATGCTATACCTACAAAATCATTTATATTGGTATTGATGTTATGCTATTATTGTTATCATCCTAAATATTAGTGTGTTATGTTAATTGTTCTGTTATTTTTTTCTGTATTGAAATGTCTTTATGTTTTTTTACTTATTTTTTTTTAAGGGGGGGGGGGGGGGTTATTTTTTAAAGCTCTTCATGGATAGACTGTTGTCTAGAAAAATGGTTAACCTTCAACCCTTCCCGTTCGAAAATGAAATTCTTGACCAAATGAGGCATCTGTTTGATACAAATACACAGCCATGTCCGGTCGGAATGGAGACGTTTAATCCGATGATTTGTGTAGAGTGACCTCCACACTTTTTGCACATTTAAGAACCCTAGCAGCAACCCTCTGAGGCGTATATACATGGCCTAATTAAAATATCAACCAATCCTTATCTTTGTCGAACTTAAATTATGTCGTTTTTAATTTCAGAATTAGATAACGTTTAATAAAAGGACCACTCTAATGGATACCAATTGAAAATAACACTTTATTAATTGCGTGCTTAAGGATGTTCGCTACTCTGTTTCAGAATAACAAGCTTTTCAAAAGACTGTTATAAATTGATAGTATATGAATGAAGGAACTAAAATAGCAGAAAAAAATGAAGGGTCCGTGTGCTTGTTTTCGAGAAATAAGCCTTAGAAAATTTGGCGGGAAATGATTCTTTCTAGATTTTTCATACATTTAACATTGGCACCTTTTTTCTTTCAGAAACAATGAAAAAATAATAAGAATTTTATAAGATTTTCAAATATGGTTTTTTAAACTAAATGTAATAAAATTATGAAAAGAAAAGTAGGGGTTAGTGGACAAAATTATTTAATGGCCAAACATGGATAAAACAAGAGGATTCCGAAAATCTGGCAAAACTTCAAAAACAAGAGGAGCGAACATCCTTAAGATGGGCATATTTTGTTTTCATATTTATTAGGAACGCTCAAACCAAAACATTGTCAGGCCAAGTTGTACATGCATTCGACCTAAATACGCGAACAGCTGTATGACCAACAGGCACATAAACAAAAAACAACATTCATCTGAAGTCAGCTTTGCCTGAACGACCTGGAACCTTAGTGTTTTTTTTTAATAATTTCTTAATTAATCAACCGAGAATTTAAAAAAAAAGTTCGTTAAATTGTTTCATTCATGTAACATATTATGACCCTAGTTGATTGTTCAAATAGATGACACTATTAACAACACAACAGATGTTTATTCCAACAGAAGATCTTCAATAGATACGCTAAAATTAACAAACCTGATGTTATGTCTGAAGAACATTCCTGTGTGAAAATTGCTGCTTTTCAAGTATTAAGTTCATCGGTTAAAAATCACCGTTTCAAATGTTGTTATGAAAAAGGCAGAAGATACCATTGGAGAAATCTAAACCAATAAGTCGTAGAGAGACTGACAAAATCATTGCAAAAGAGACAAACACCAATCTACAAATCACTACAAGACTGAGCAACACGAATCCCATCGTGGATAGTTTCAGGTGCTCAAGTAGGGTAAACAGAGATCCCATTTCAAAAATATATTTTAAAATATCTAAAGCTATCGTGGATAGTTTCGGGTTCTCAGGAAGGGTAAGCAGACCCCATTTAAAAAAATAGATTTTAAAATATCTAAAGCTAAAATGGATTCAAATCTGAGGAGTAATACAGATAAATCACACAATATAAGGGCTATATAATTTTTTATTCAGAAATTAATAGTCATGATAGTGAAGTTTTGTTGTTATGTAAAAAATCTAAACTAAAGTTTGGTCAAATTAAACGTAGCTTAAGTTGTTGTTTATATATCTTCTTATGAATATAGCAGATGTTTGATATATCACGGAGGCTGCATTCCGATGAAGTTAGTAACATAAAGACATCTAAAGGGCAACACCAAAGACTATCAAAGTGTGTTATATTGTTAACAAAAACAGTATTTTAGATTTGTGAAAATAACAGATATAGATATAGCAAACTTATTTTAATTCGACATAGTATAAAAAATATAAAAATAAAATATATGTATATATGCATAAATAGGCGTCTTTGAAGTAAATACTTTACAGAGGTTAAAATATTCTTAAAGGGACAATTGCAAGTAGATTTTTGTCTGATCTGTTCGACGATTGAGGATTCAGTGAAATGATTTTTTCTCATTTCATCTTATTTGTTCCATCTCACTGCAAAGAAAAAAATCAATGAAAATTTACAAGAACATACGTCAAGGACGTCAATTTAAATAAGTTATCGAAAAAAAAGTTTCGGTATTAATGATAATACTCTTCGATATCATAAATACGTAGTTTATTATATTTTATCGACTAGAAATATTTTTCTTACAAACTGTTAGAAAACGTAACAAATTTCACGACAAAAGAGATGATTTCAGCTTCCCAATTGTGAACTTTCCTTTTCTTTGTAGAAACATTTCAGCAGTGCCTGCATATGGAATATATTTCCCCAAGTTTATATGGGAATCCAGAGCTTGCGTTCCTTATTATGGTTTCCATGATAGAGGGTTGCTGCTTGCTAGGAAGCCAATGAACCCAGGTTTTTTTTTGGTGGTAAAGTCGAAGTCATTTGTCTAATGTTTTACGGACGCCATCAAGAATTGTTTGATCTTATGAAATATCTATGTCACATCTGATGGCAACCAATACTGTAATACTATTTCAGCCATTTAATAGTAAATCATGATTCAAGTAAGTAAACATTTAAAATAAGGTTAAGCCAAGCTAATTAAAAAAAGATATCTAAAAAGCCACGATTCAGTCTTTGCCTGTATTGAAGGACTGAAAAGGTGGTACAATGTTGGATGTCATTGGATGAAAAAGGCAGATGATAATAAGGGCTCTATAAAGATGTGACAGATATTCTCCATTTGCAATTTTACAGTTTTACGTATGGATACCACAATAAAATGCTCCGCGGGGCGCAGTTAGATACGACCACAGAGGTCAAACCCTGAACAGTTGGGGCAAGTATGGACACTACATTCAATAAAATTGAGAATGGAAATGGGGAATGTGTCAAAGAGACAACAACCCGACCACAGAACAGACAACAGCAGAAGGCCACCAACAGGTCTTCAATGCAGCGAGAAATTCCCGCACCCGAAGGCGTCCTTCAGCTTGCCCCTAAACAAATATATATACTAGTTCAGTGATAATGAACGCCATACTAAACTCCAAATTGTACACAAGAAACTAAAATTAAATATAATACAAGACTAACAAAGGCTAGAGGCTCCTGACTTGGGACAGGCGCAAAAATGCGGCGGGGTTAAGCATGTTTATGAGATTCAAGCTTGATACAGCTCTGAATTTGGATTGTGATTAAATATTTGACACGGAATAGGTTTCTGCCACAGAATGAATGTGGTCAAAGAACTGAAATATCCAAAATCTAGATACACGGTTAGATTCGGCATATACAAGTATACCAAGAATTTAATCTTTTTATGGACCATAATATCCAAGTACACCAGGAATTTAATTTATTTATTCATTAATGGACAATATCATCTAAGTTTTTAAAGGGTTCGCTTCATTAAAAATAAATGGAGAATGTATCCATGGGACACAAATGATGCCCCCGCTCGCAAAAAACATTATAAAGGGATATAACAAGAGAACTGTAAAAGTGACACCACCCAAATTCGTACTTGATCTGTGTTTAATGGTAATAAGTATTGTGTATAAGTTTCATAACAATTGGTTGAGGCAAACTAAAGTCAGAGAACGGAACGATTCAATTTTTTTTCCATTTATAAAGGGGCATAACTCAGGAATGGTAAAAGTGATGCCAACCAAATTCGAACTTGATCTGTGTTTTGTGGTAATAAGCTTTGTGTATAAGTTTCATATCATTTGGTCAAGGAAAACTAAAGTTAGAGAACGGAAGCCAGTTTTAGAACGTACGGACGTACGGAAACTACATATGGACGGGGACATAAATATATATATATAGCATTTTGAAAATTAATTTATACAGAATAACAACCTACCACGAAGTTCTTTAAAAAAAAAAACAATTTCTAAAATGTCATTCATCTTTCATACAATGTCTTTAAAAAATCTATAAAACTTACCTCTTTTCAAAATATCTAATAATGAATAGTTAATTTCAAACAATTTTTAAACATAACTTCTTAAATTAGAATATAATGCTTTATCTATTTTTAACTATGACTCAACTTACAATTTCTATTAATTGTGCAATACTTCTCTGAATTTAAATTCTGATTAAATATTCAATAAAGCATAGTTTCTGAAGCAGAATGAATGTGGTCTAAGTACTTAAATGCTTTTACAAATGGACATTTACCAATTATTGTCCAATATCCAAATTCTAAATTAATGGTTGGAATCAACATATCAAAGAACCCCGAGAATTCATTTTTTGACAAATCCAACCAAGTTTAATTTTGACCCTTTCGACCTCAATGTGAATCAATTTGATAACAGGACCCAAAATCAAAAATCTAAATACACACCTATATTCAGCATATCAAAGAACCCCTATATATTCAATTTTTGTTTAAATCAAACAAAGTTAAATTTTGGACCCCAATTTCAAACAACTTGAAATCTAAAAAAAAAAAATGACAAAAAAGATTCAGCATATCAAACAACCATAAGAATTCAATTTTTGTTAAAATCAAACGAAGTTTAATTTTAGATACTTTGGACCTTTATGTGGACCAGTTTGAAAAACGGGCCCAAAATAATAAAAAATTAAAACACTGTTAGATTGTGCACATCACAGAACACCAATAATTAAATCAAACAAAGTTTAATTTTGGACCTAAATTTGAACGAACTTTGAAAACCAAGCCCAAAATCAAAAACATAAAACACTGTTGGATTGGGCATATCAAAGAACACCAATAATTAAATTTTTGATGAAATCGAACAAAGTTTAATTTTGGACCCCAAATTGGACCAATGTGCCCACAATCAAAAAGCTAAATACACAATTAGATTCAGCATATGAAAGAACACCAATAATTTAATTTTTGAAGAGATCAAACAAAGTTTAATTTTGGACCCTTTGGACCTTAATATGAATTAATTCAAAAACAGGGCCCAAAATCCAAATTCTAAATACCCAATTAGATTCAGCATATTAAAGAACCCCAAGAATTCAACACTTTGAATTAAACCCTATTGACATTGCTAATAATGAAATTTTTTCAGAGTATTACAAAAGTATTGTTTTTTTGCCCCTTTGTGGTTAAAATTCAAAGAAATCCATACTCTTATAAACAAATTATTGTCCTGAAACATGACAAATGCTTGTTTTTTGGCCTCTTTTCTGCCCCTCATTACTAAACAGCTAATACAATAGTCCCCAAAATCAATCCCAACCTTCCTATTGTGGTATGGAACCTTGTGCTAAAATTTAATAGAGATCCATAAACTAATACTTAAGTTATTGTCTGTGAACCTGACAAATGATTGTTTTTGTTGGCCCCTTTTTAGCCCTTAATTACTTAACAGCTAAGAAAATTACCACAAAAATGAATCCCAACCTTTCTATTGTAGTATGGAACCTTGTGCTAAAATTAAATAGAGATCCATACACTTCTACTCAAGTTATTGTCTGCAAACCAGAAAAGTCATTGTTTTTCCCCTTTTTAACCCCTAATTACAAAACAGCTACGACGATAAAAAGTCAATCCCAACCCTCCTATTGTGGTATAGAACATTTTGCTAAAATTTCATACAAATCCAGTATACTTATACTCAAGTTATTATCTGGAAACCAATTTATTGTCTATGAACCATTAAAAATGCTTGTATATTGACCCTTTTTGGACCCTAATTACAAAACGGCTACGACAATACCCCCAAAATCAATCCCAACCTCCCTATTGTGGAATGAAACTTTGTGCTAAAATTTCAATGGAGATCCTTACACTTATACCCAAGTTATTGTCTGTGAACCAAAATGTCTTCGGACGCCGACGCAGACATAGCCATAACATAATACGAATGCACAACATTTGCGGTAGTATAAAAATCAAAAATCTACATGCGCACTTAAATTCAGCATATCAAAGAACCCCAAATAATCACTTTTTGTTAAAATCAAACGAAGTTTAATTTTGGACCCCAATTTCAACCAACTTGAAAACTGTGCCCAAAATCAAAATTTAATTATATGCTTACAATCAACATATCACAGAATCCCAAGAACTTTTTTTGTTAAAATCAAACTAAGTTTAATTTTGGATACTTTTGACTTTTAGGTGGACCACTTTGAAAAACGGGCCCAAAATCAAAAATTTAAAAACACTTAGATTGCACACATTAAAGAACACCAATAATCAATTTTTTGGTGAATTCAAACAAAGTTTAGTTTTGGATCCCATTTTGGACCAACTTTGAAAACCAAGCCCAAAATCAAAAATCTAAAACACTGTTGGAATGGGCATATCAAATAACGCCAATAATGAAATCTTTCATGAAATCAAACATAGTTCAATTTTGGACCCAAATTTGGACCAACTTGAAAACTGTGCCCAAAATTTAAAATCTATATACACGCTTAGATTCAGCATATCAAAGTTTAATTTTGGACCCTTTGGACCTTAAATAAAGGCAACAGTAGTATACTGCTATTCGAAATTCATAAATCGATTTAGAAAAAAACAAATCCGGGTTACAAACTAAAACTGAGGGAAACACATCAAATATAAGAGGAGAACTACGACACAACAGAAACACAACATTAAAATGTAACACACATAGAAACGAACTATAATATAACAATGGCCATTTTCCTGACTTGGTACAGGACATTTAAAAAAAAATGGTGGGTTGAACCTGGTTTTGTGGCTAGCAAAACCTTCCGCTTTTATGGCAATGTTAAATATAACATTAAAATGACAACATTACATGACAGGACTACAATACAAATAAATGGGAGAACATATAGGACAGAGAAACATACGAATAATAGCTAACAAAAGGTACCAGGTTCAAAATTTAATACGCAAGACGCGCGTTTCGTCCACACAAGACTAACCAGTGACGCTCAGATCAAAAACGTACGAAAGCCAAAACAAGTACAAAGTTGAAGAGCATTGAGGAACAAAATTTCCAAAAAGTTGTGCCAAATACGGCTAAGGTTATATGTCTGGGATAAGAAAATCCTTAGTATTTAGAATAATTCATACTTATGTAAACAGTAAATTTATAAAAATGACTACATAATAGATATACATGATAACACCGAAGTAGTGACTAACTACAGAATAAAAACGGATACATAAAACAACATAAACCAGCACATAAAAATTCACAGCCGATTTAGCAAAAGAGATCAACGCTAAAAAAAAGGGTGACGTCACATTTGAATTTCTGAAATTTCCCCAAAATAGGATAGAATTAGGATAGAATTCAATATTTGGTTTATAATACTCATATAACATTTATCAATAACAATGAAAATTACAATACTAATTAATATAAAATGTGGTAGTAATAAGATAATAAATAGTATTATCTAGCTATGTCGGTGTTTCTTCTAAATCAAACTGTAAACCAAATATATCGTATACATTTAGTTGACCCAAATTAAAATCTAATTAACAAACATGGTGATTAATAATCTTTACCATAACACACGAATACAACAGAAAAAAATAAGATTTACAACTACAAACGAGAAGACATTTGACAAAATCCGATGAGAATAACAAATATAACATCAAAACTAAATACATGAATTTTGGATAGAAAGGTAACGTGACACGTCTTATAGCAATGCGAATTCACACTCAGCAAAACAGTCACAATCGGGAATAAGTCACGTTCGGTAATTAAAAGATCAGACGACGTAATGTCAAACCACATTCTAACACGTGGTAAAAATGTCCTTAGTTAGTTAATGTGGACCAATTTGTAAACAGGCTCCAAAATTAAAAATCTAAATACATGATTAGCTTCAACATATCAAAGAACACCAATAATTTAATTTTTTAGAAATCAAACAACGTTTTTTTGGACCCTTTGAATCTTAATATGGATCAATTCAAAAACAGACCCAAAATCCAAATAATAAAAACCCAATTAGATTCAGCATATTAAAGAACCCTAAGAAATTTTGAATTAAACCCCATTGAAATTGCTAAAAAAAAATACGTAATTTATACAAAGTATTACAAAAGAATTATTGTTGGCCCCTTTTACCTAAACCGTTACGGTCATAACCCCTAAAATCAATCCCAAACTTTATTTTATGGTATAACACCTTGTGGCACAATTAAATAGCAATAAATAGACTTATACTCAAGTTATTGTCCAGAAACCAGAAAATCCTAGTTTGTTTGCCCCTTTTCGGCCCCGAATTACTAAACAGCGACGACAACCATCCAACCCCCCCCCCAAAAAAAATCCAACCTTCCTAATGTGGTAAGGAACCTTGAACTAAAATTTAATAGAGATCCATTCACTTATACTCAAGTTATTGTCAGAAAAATAATTGTTTTTGTTAGCCCCTTTTTTGCCCCTAATTCCTAAACAGCTACTTTAAAAACCCAACAAATAAACCCTAACCTTCCTATTGTAGTATGAAACCTTGTGCTAAAATTTAATAGAGATCCATACACTTATACTTAAGTTATTGCCTGCAAACCAGAAAGATAGTTGTGTTTGGCCCCTTTCGACCCCTAATTATTAAACGGTTTTGGACATGACCCCAAAAACAATCCCAACTTTCCATTTGAAGGATGGAACCTTATGGTAAAATTTCATAGAAATATATACTCATACACAAATTATTGTCCTGAACCATGAAAAATGCTTGTTTTTGGCCCCTTTTTACTAAACAGCAACGACAATAACCATCAAAATAAATCCCAACCTTCCTATTTTGGTATGAAACCTTGTGCTAAAATCTAATAGATTCATACACTTATACTCAAGTTATTGTCTGTGAACCAGACAAATAATTGTTTTTGTTAGGACCTTTTTGGTCCCTTATTCCTAAACAGCTATGACAATAACCCTCAAAACTAATCCAAATCTTCCTATTGTCGTGTGGAACCTTGTGCTAAAATTCATAGGAATCTATACGCTTATAGTCAAGTTATTGTCTGCAAACCAAAATGTCGTCGGACGCCGACGCAGACATCGCCATAACATAAGACGGACGCAAAAAATTTTGCTGTCGCATAAAAAAACTCTTATCACTTGGGATATACATCACATATATGTTCCCTGGAGGCTTTCTTTTTTACATTTGTTCAGAACGTGAATAAAAGATATTTTAATGATCTTAGTTATAGACAAGAGAATGAGACATATTGCATACCTATTCCTCGCTGCATCATATTTTTTATTTGTCTTCCCTGTTACTACGTAAACGAAGCTTCTAGATATAAAAACAAGAAAAGAAGATGAATGAAATTGTGAAATCATATCAATTCTTATACCAAACATCTCTATTTATTATAAATTTTGTGTTTTGTTATTTGTTATTTTTGTTTTAATTGACACTTATCATTATATGCGAAAGTACATTTCAAAACTTAACATATACAAAATACGAGGTGATGCTCTGGACAACGATGGATGATCTGACTGGGGACTCTAAGGTCCCAATATTTCGAGATTAAAGAATCTGCTATATGTAAATATGAAAACAATATATATTCATAAACCCCATATACACAAGGGATGATAGTTAGAAGTAGCAACAGAACAAAAGGTTTGTGTTTTCGAAAATGCAATTCAAAAGTTGTATTTTGATCGATAATATACAATTCAAACAGGTTTTCTGTTAAAATGTGTTTTCCTACATTTCTAACCGTCGTTGGGAGTTGAATACCACCACATACTTCATTTGTACTTCACAATAATCAATATAACAAAATTTGACGAATTATAACTCACAACAATAGCTGTGTCAATTTTAAGCATTTTTTTATGATGTACATCTATTACTTTTTGCAAAAATATATGTTACGAAGATAACCACATAATATTATATGATTATCTTTTGGTATATACCCCTCTTTTTGTGTTTTTTGTCTAAAATATCATGGCTTTTATGTCATTTAGGTTCGACAATTAACGGTACTGACCTTCTTGGTTTGTTGAATCTCTTTCCTTTCAAAAACAATATATACGAATAAATCCATTACATGTACTACTGTCATCAATATTCTGGAGAAATCAGGAGGAAATCTTTTATAATGATATTAATTTTATTTACCTCATTTTCCTTCTGTATCTCCTTGCGACAAATATGGTCAGTGGAATCAATAAAACTAAGAGAAATAATAAATCTGAAAAAGTGAAATTTTTAAAATAAAAGAAGAAAATAATCTTAAATATGATATTTTGCTTGTGAACAATGTATAAAAGGACCTTACCTAGAATTTTACGCCTCACATTAAATATTTTGTATCTTTGGTGGAGACATCCTACTTTACGATTTGGTTGCTCACCGATACATACTCTATAAACATAATAACTTTAAACACACAACATCGGACTTTTTACGAACACTTGATAACGAAGTATCAGTGAATATTTCTCTGGAGTCAGAATTGTATGATTAGTGATTACAATCTTAAAATTCTGACGCCGTGGATGTGGCAATTTTGTTTTAGAAAATAGAATTTGATATACATTATATAACATCCTTAAAACACCAAATAAGGCTTCAAGTTTTAATATAAATCACTTTTTTAAAAGAAACTATCAATTACAATTACAGACAATTAACATGAAATATCAATGATTAATGCTTTTTAGAATGAATCTTTGCTTTATTCTGAAATTTGCGATAGTTAAATTTTTGAGGTAATTCTTTAAGCCTCCTTATTTCAATTTATATGAAATTAGATATTGCTGATTGTTATCAAGATTAAAATGGAACTAACATAATAACGTATTACTTCCCTCATCGGGTTTGTGATCTTCTGTTGGAGGAGTCGTTACAGGATATGTTGGTGTTGTGTCTATAACTGAGGTCTGATATGGAAGATGCGTTGTTATTGGTTTTATTGAATCTGATGATGACATAAAAGCTGACGATGACTGTAAATGGAACGTATTTTGAGTGTCTGAAGAAAAAACAGCAGTGGAAAGTCTTTCGGGTAAAGTGGAGATTGATGACAATTGTATTACCGTTGACGATAAACTAGCATCCGACCATGTCTCTAATAGATTGTATTGGGATGACTTCATCAATGTATACGAATTGGAATGACTGGTGGCTGATATCAACTTTGAACTTGTAGTTGGTAGTACAAAAGAAGATTGAATATCGATAGCAATGGAAGAAGATAACGATAATATTGATGTCACTATTGGACATTCTGTTTGATTGTTAACACATTCGCCTGTCTCACATTTATGATTACCTTCAGGGCATGGTTGAATATATGTACCTATATAAAATAATGTAATTAATAATAATAAACGTGAAAAAAACAACATTGTAAGACTGTGTCCTTGTTTGTCGACAGATGGCATTGATAAATAAAAATCTTGTTTAATATGGGATCAATTGTTTGGTACATATCATCTCAATGTTATACCACACTAGTCAGATGAGAGATTACAGGCGGTATTTTTTTAAACAGAGAGGGAATATATGTTCGTTCTAGATGAGCAAGGAAAACCCTTAGTCGAAAAAAAACCCAAAAAAAAACCGAAAACGATGAAACGATAAATAACAGTCCACAAAATCATATACAGAATACTTCAGATTGAGCAACACCAACTCCGCAAAAATGGATGACATTCATGATGCTCTTAATTACGCTGTTCCCTTCTCTACAATGTTGTATATATCCTTATGGTTGCACTAAACAAGCAAAGTCAACACAAACTTTTTTTTATCAAAAATCTAGAAAAAAAACAAACAAATAAACAGTGAACAGAGATTCATTCATATATTTCCACATCTCCTTGTATAGATGACAAATTCATTTTTTGTTTGCAATTTCAAGACGTGAAATTCATTTAGAAAAGCATTTGTACAGAAATAATGAAATTTAAGAAGACAATCATTATCGCAAGGGACTCTTACCCTGTCGACACACACGGTTTTAATCCGTTTTGAGTTATTGAAAATTTATGAGATTTAAACATCAGTAAACTGTTGTTGCCTATAATTGTTACCTTTGCATGTACAATATACTCACAATTAATCTCATCGGAGTGATCTGGAAGGTCACAGTCAAATTCGTTATCGCATGTTTTTGTTAAATTGATACATTTTCCATCAATGCATTCGAACTCGTCTATTGTGCAAGCATTTACAATCTAGATCAGAAAAAAATAATTGATACAAATCACATTGAGAAAAGTTTAGGTTTCATGAGACTATAAATTTATAATTAACTTATCTTGCTTGTGGAATATTAATACTAACAAATTAATTTGAATTACACTTTTAAGTACTTATTTTTCACAAAACAACCAACGATTGAATAATCATGTGGAAAGAATATCGTTGACTGTTGGTTTATAGCGCCACTAATAATGTATGGAACAAAAGCAGATAATAATTCTAACTGTTTGTAAAGAATTAAAAGTACATATTGTGTGTTCTGGAAGATACGTGTAATAGAATAGCAAAATAAAATCGAAGTGATAGGTACAATAGTTGCTCTAAAAGTATGAGTGTTCAATTCATGCACGATTATTTTATAATACTTTTTGAAAGTTAGTCTAATATTCAGATTACTATTTGTTTTACGCTATAGTTATACACAACAGATAATCGCTTCAGTTGATATTTATAAACAGTTAACATCAATGTGACAATACATAAATTTCAATGTATAGTCGACATAAAATGAAATAACCTAACACCTCCTGCGGTGGGCTCGTCTTTTCATATGAAATAGTTCAAATCCAGAAAAGCGCTTCGGACGCATGAAATTAATAACGTGTTGTTCTCATTTATTTTTCAATATTTATATCTATCCAATGTAGAGAATTACGTTGCTGTGTAGGCCGTTAAACGAACTAACTAGCCCAGTGTCAAATTGACAATTGTCTTTAACATTATAAGAATTAAAGATGAGAATTATGAATTTAGTCTTAAATATATATACATTTATGGTGATAAATAAGTAATTTCATAGCAAAATCCCTTAAATAGAGGTAGGAACACACGAAGGTTATTACGAGATGTCCAACAAGTTTAAAGTAGACTGTCGCTTGTTCCTTTCTGTTTCTAAATTAGCAGGCCGTATATGAGTTGATATTTATCAAGAGGAAGCATACTGGTATTGTTTTCGTCTGCTCTTAAATCTTATATAAACCAGAAATGAACAATAAATCGCTTCAATTTCGTTACATTTTATTTAACAATAATATGAAACCGAAGATAATCCAATAATGCATTGAAAGAATCAATTTTCTTTCCTTCTTACTTATTCTTTCTATGCAAAATGGTACACAGAGCAAGGAAAAGTTTGGTGTTCTTGTTTCCGTAACTAGTTTTGTGTGAGACGAGATACATGAAGTTGGTGATGTGCTGAACCCGTAATTTCGAAGGCTCATCGATTGTATCTCTTTCTAATGATAAACTGTCTTCCCCGATTATTAGCTACGATATACCAAGTTTTCTTTTAAGATCTTTCCTAGATAGGCAGCCATCCCTATCTTATCGGTTATTTACAAAGAAATGAGACAAGGTAAATGAGTGATAGCGCATGTTCAAACACCGATGAGCCCACATTCCATCCATGGGCCCTCGCTGATCCGTGATCCAAAATGGAAATTCGCCTGATTATTTAAACATCAGTGTCCCCGTGCTACCGAAAGAAGGATACTCTGGAGCCTTGGTAATAATGCAGATGCGTTGTAATGGCTTACAATTTTTGGCTTTAAAAAATCTTGCTAGCCAGCGGCATAAGACATCAATCTGACAGTCCCATACATTAGACGCATGACAGTTCAACGTGGAGCATCATTACACACACATTTGAAACTCAGTATTTAAAAAAAAATTCCAAACGAATTTAACTACTAGTAAATTAAAAAATATATCGATGTAAGTATTTCTTCATGAACAAATATAAGTTCTTTGGAACCAGCTATTTACCAAAGTTTTTTTGGCATTCGTCATCATTTTGCACCCTTGTTAGTCCATCATCGTAAATAAAAAAAATTAAAAAAAAAGGGCATAACTAGACAAACCTAATCTTAATAGTTTCTAGTTAAAAATAGATATGTCGCATATGCTTACAGGTAGAAGACAACATGGGCAGAAAATATAATATAGGATCAAACCATATTTTTAGTTCAAAGTTATAACAAATGAAGAAAAAACGTCGCCTCAAACAATTGGCATGTCATGATTATTTTTTTTTTATTACTATCAATTTCGATTGATAAAAAATCGCCAATCGATTCTAAATAGATGTTATATTGCCATTTTATGACATTTTCTCCCTTTTTCATATATTTCTTTTTAAACTTAAGGACTTTTTCATCATTTGGTAAACTATAATAGATAGACGGCATAAAAACAGCAATACATGATGTGCAATTAAGTCAGCAAGACTAAAATTTTCAATGAAATCTGGAATATCAAATGTTCATTGTTGTTTCTTTTCTTTTTGCTATTAACTTGAAAACTAAAGCTGATAAAAAACTTCACCAAAAATGAAAATGATCTATTGTAATGCCATGTTGCTCCAATAATTGCGGCTTTCAATGTCGGGGTTTCATGCTGACTGCTAAAAATTTAGGCATTTAATCAGTAAAATACAAAAAAAAAAAAATAATAAAAATGTTGTTCGAGGTGCTTTGAAGAAGCATATGTCCAAGTTTCGTATACTTCCAAAAAGACTTGACCAAGTCATTAAAATATAAAATCCGTAAAAAAACTGAACATATATTTTGAACAAAAAAAATGATAAATAAAATGGCCACAACTTGATACGACCACAGAGGTCGAACCCTGAACAGTTGGGCAAGGATGGACACAACATTCAAGCTTGAAACAATTTCTGAATTTGGATTGTGATTAAATATTTGACAAAGCATAAGATTTTGACACAGAATGAATGTGGTTATTGCACAAGGTCATGTTTTTCTCTGAATGTTAATGACGTCTTTACACTTAATCCATTGGATTTTGGATGTGTACTGATTGATATTTTAGTCTTAGATGCATGATGTTTTTTATTAATTGTTATTGGGTTTGAACTAGCTGTCAGTAACTGCGAGTACTCTCAGATCTGCAATTAGTGTCTTTTTGTTGTGGGGATGTATAAGTACCATTAAACGTCCACTCTGTGTTTTTGTTAGATGTATTTCTGCTTTGTATCCATCTGATGAGTTAATCTCTTTTCAATTAATTTCTATAGTTTATTCTTATGTTGTACTGTTACACCACTGTCCATGGTTAGGTGGGGGTTGGCGCCTTCAAACTAGTTTAACCCCGCAACATTCTGAATGTGCCTGTCCCAAGTCAGCAGCCTGTAATTCAGTGGTTTCGTTTGTTGCTGTATATCATATTTGTATTTCGTTCATTAGTATGTACATGAATCAGGCCGTTAGTTTTCTCGTTTGAATTGTTTTACATTTGTCATTTAGAGGCCTTTTAAAGCTGACTATGCGGTATGGGTTGTACTCATTGTTGAAGGCCGTACGGTGACCTATAGTTGTTAACTTCTATATCATTTGGTCTCTTGTGGAGGGTTGTCTCATTGGCGATCATACCACATCTTCTTAAATTTATAAGAAATTACAAATTTGAAATCGGACATTTACCTTTTATGGTCCAATATCCAAAATCTAAATACATGGTTAGATTCAGCATATCAAAGAACCAAAAGAAATCATTTTTTGATGAAATCAATAAATTTTAATTTTGGACCCTTTGGACATCAATGTGAACCAATTTGATAACAGGACCCAAAATCAAAAATCTAAATACACGGTTAGATTCAGCTTATCAAAGAACCCTATATATTCAATATTTGTTGAAATCAAATAAAGTTTAGATCTGGACCCCGATTTGCACCAGCTTGAAATCTGGTACCAAAATCAAAAATCTAGATACATGTTTAGATGCAGCATATCTAAGAACCCTAAGTTTAATTTTGGACCCTTTGGACCTTAATGTGGCAATTTGAAAACCGGGCCCAAAATCAAAAATCTAAATACACGGTTCGATTCCGCATGTCAAAGAACATCAAGAATTTAATTTGTTTCGAAATAGAAAAAAGGTTTAATTTTGGACATTTGGACATTAATTTGGATCAATTTGAAAACGGGGCCCAAAATCTAAAATTTAAAAACACGTAGATTCGGTTTATTGAAGAACCCCAAGAATTCAAGACTCTGAATAAAACCCCATTGAAATTGGGCAAGAAATACGTAATTTATACAAAGTATTAGAAAAGTATTGTTTTGACCCCTTTTTTGGCCCAAATTCCTAAACAGTTAGTGCCGTTAGCCCAAAATCAATTAAAACCTACCCTTTTTTTTGTGTGGATCCTTGTGGTACAATTTCACAAAGATCCATAGACTTACACTCAAGTTATTGTCCAGAAACCAGAAAATCCTAGTTTTTTGGTCCCTTTCTTGCCTTAATATCTAAACGGTTTAAGCCATAACTCCTAAAATCAATCCCAACCTTCCCTTTGAGATATGGAACTTTGTGGTACAATTTCATAGAGATGCATACACTTATACACAAGTTGTTGTCCTGGAACAAGAAAACTGCTTGTTTTTTTTTTGCCCCTTTTTTGCCCCTAATTCCTAAACAGTTAGAACAATAACCCCCAATGTCAATCCCAACCTTCCTGTTGTGATATGGAACCTTGTGGTACAATTTCATAGAGATGCATACACTTATACACAAGCTGTTGTCCTGGAACAAGAAAAATGCTAGAGTTTAATACACTTAATCTCAAGTTATTGTCTGGAAACCAAATGTCTTCCTACGACGACGACATCGCCATACCATTATACGGCCGCAAAATTGTGCGGTCGTATAAAAAAACCTATCTAAGTTAATTAATTAATACTCTACGTAAAATGAACAAAAGAAAATAGGAATTGTAGTCTAGATTATATTTCCTGATTACGGATAAGCTTCTGTAAGTGTTTTCTAAAATTCATTGAAACCGTTGTAATTTTTAGTTGTATGCATATACTTACTTTTTTATTATTTGCTGTGAAGACGAAAACAAATAAAAGGAATCCAACACAGTTCTTCATCTGGAAAAAAATTTAAATAACATTTATCTGAAATATGATTGATATTTGAGTAAAATGAAACTCCTGAGCATATGTGTTAGACATCGGAATCGAAACCAGTATAACTTTAAATAACTTAAACCGTGGTATAAATATAATCCCAATATATCTCCGTTTACCTGATATTGCCGGTAGCGTACTGAAGATTTCATTCCATCTACCGTCAATCACGGTAGCTGAAACGATTGACAAAGAAATGCATCAAGATGTTTCGTAAAGGTTTGAAATTATAATCTAAAAAAAATCCGCATACGTTAGCTTCAACTCGCAAAAACCAAACATATAATTACTTGATGATCTATCATAACTATAATTTTCGTTCTTGGAATCTAGAAATAATACAAACATGGATACAGAAAACTTAATTATATAACAAACATTAATGATGTATTTACACTTAATCCATTTGATGTTTGTGTGCAGTGATTGCTATTTTTGTCTTAGATACATGATATTTTTTATTAGTTGTTATTGGCTTTGAACTAGCTGTCAGTAACTGAGAGTACTCTCATATCTGTTCTTTGTGTCTTTGTCGTTGTGAGGGATGTATAAATACCCTGCCAGGTCCGGTCTGTGTTTTTGTTATATGTTTTTTCTGCTTTGTATCGGTCTGATGAGTTAAGCCCTTACCAACTGATTTTTATAGTTTTTTCTTATGTTGTACTGTTACACTACTGTCCCATGCAAGGGGAGGATTTGCGCCTTCAAACATGCGTAACCCCGCCACATTCTTTATGTGCCTGTCCCAAGTCAGGAGCCAGTAGTTCAATGGTTGTCGTTGGTTCATGTCTGTCTTATTTGTTTTTTGTAAATTGTTTTGTTATAAATAAGGCCGTTATTTTTCTGAATTAAATTGTTTTATTTTTTTTTCATAGCCGACTATATGGAATGTGTTTTTCTCCATGTTGAAGGCCGTAATGTTGCTTATAATTGCTTACATCCACTTCATTTGAACTTTGGTGGAGAGTTGTCTCATAGGCAATCATACCACATCTCCTTATTTTTAAATTAAAAGCCAACCTGTTCATGCATGTCGTGATGTATAACTATGTTGTACAAAAATATGTTATAAAATGTAGGAGTGCATTACATCCATTTAATTTGGCCTCTGTTATATAAACACCGAAATAACGCGGTGTAATGTCAGTATTAAATGACAGGGCAGTGCGTAACAAAAAATACCCCAACATAATATACTGCAGTTTTCAGACAAAAGCAAAGTAACATAGAAACTCGTATGATGTAATTTGACTTGTATTTCAGTGTAATTAAACCACTTAGTCACTAGGAGACGATAAGGAACATTTAGGATATGTATGCTATAAAACAAATCCGAATTTTGTTCTGGTTTGTTTGGAAATATGATCCATTTCAGGCTTACTTATCTCTACAAATGTCTTCGTTCGCGTTTCTCAAAACTGATATCAAATAAAGGACTTTCGATTACTTGAACCGATATTGGTTATTATTTTTCTGCTATGTTTTCATCAGAAACAACTTTAAGTAAAAGGAAAAGAAAATACCGTGTTTTTCCCACAATGACTTAAATGGTTAGGTTTTTCAGTCCATAAAAGTAACATTACATTATTTTGTGAATAAAATATACATCTGAAGTTAATGAATCTAAATTGTAAAGAAAGCCATCTACATTGGAATAAAATAAACAACCCTTTTTCCAAATGTCGGAAATATGTCAAAGAGTGTTTACCGTAAATCAATAACAAAAAGAAATAAGGGAACGAATCCCGACGGTTGCAAAAGATCGAGGTGGTAAAAGAGACGATGGGAAGTCGTAACACAAAGGTGGACGATACTAGAAGTCAGCTCGTATTTATGAGCTTCAAATTACATCACTCGGGAACAGTGTTGGGTATCCGCCTATATAATATAAATAAGATATACAAATATTTGTTTTTGTACTACGGTTGACAGAGTCGAGGGTATATAGGAAATATCATGTATGTCCGTCCATCTGTCCGTCCGTGCGTGCGTGATACTTTTGGTTTTTATATGATAAAAACAGAACCGCTTTTGAAGTTTGTTGATATTTTAAATTAAATATATTTCCATTAGCATATACAAAATTGTTATGAATTTTTCAAAATAATGAAAAAGAGAAATCTAACTCTACTGTTATAACATGTATAATAATCTAAATGTTCTCATTAGTTATTATTGATATAAAGGACACATTAAGAAATGAAAGTTTATTCGAGAAAAAAATGTTAAGTGTCTGGTAGTTTCGTTTTCAGAATATTGATTCGACCAATCTAATATTGTTGTAGACGGATTGGAATTCCAAATTTAATTGAACTATTTCACACATACAATACATTTATCTAACTTGAAAGATGACGTAGATACTTACCATACCTATATGGTTGCGCAGACTTACTTTGTCAACAAAATATTTTTCTCTGTTAGCAGAACAAAGAAGTTCCTCGATATTTACTTCCTCTTTGAATACAGTCTTGTTATTTCATAATGATCTACATTTAAACATACTGGATAAGCGTTGTAAATTTAACCCTGATAATTAGTTATAAATAAATTTAACGCTACTAGTAGATTATTATCTAACAATATCTAATAGAAGAATAAATAACTTTTCAGAAATTTGTGTTCAAGATAAGAATAAACAAGTTTCTACTGTATGTACATGATGTAAACGATTTGTATATGTCTACCTATATATTGTTATCACAAATCAATGATTCATGATTACCGTTTAATTTCTGTTAATTAGTTCTGAACAATACAAACTTTTAGAAAATAAGTTCATCGTATTTCTACTTCAATAGGTCATCATAACATAAATTATATATTGAACATTTGGTGATTCATGTATACATGGTATATTATTACTATCGTCTGAACGAAGTTTGAAGATTTTTATTCTGAAAGCAATTTGAGGCTTTTCATGTGTTTTGCTCATTAATCTTAATCATTATTCATCTGCCTTCTCTTTCGCTTTTGAACTTATCATTGACAGTATTTCAAACAGTAAATCACATGCACTATAATTGTACAGTAAATGCGGGTTTGTTAAGGGGTAAATTTAGTAAAAAATCTCCCATTGACTTTAATGCAAATCAATGTCTTGAATTAAATTTATACATGATTTACCTTTAGAAATCAGAAGTTTTCATATATCATTCATTAAAGTATAAATGTAGCCCCATCTTTTGCAATAATATAAACATAGGGCCATGCGGCATTTTTGGGCATTCACATGGCCTTGTTTAGAAACACTGTAGATTCCTATACTGACCCCAATACCTTTCTACCCTGTAGTAAAAAAATTAAGTGAATTCAGCATTAATTTTTTAATTTTCTTTAACTCTATAGTTTTGATCCATCTATCAAAAAATGTTTTTTACAAACATTATCTACCAATCAGAAGAGCACAGGACTTCAGTGTTAAACAGAAAGCTCTCCCCAAATGGGCGGTCCCTGATGAATTATATTTATTTACTTAATTTACCCATTAAGCAGTGCAAAATATTGTGCTTGAGTAAAATATGAAAACTTATACGTGACTATTTTTTATTGTTTAGTTTAAAATATAAAGTAAAGGATAACCTAAGATGTATATGCGACAGTATACATATTGTAAAAATATTTCTACGGTTAATTACTACATGTACTGAAAGGCAATATTGAGTTGATTGAAAATATAAGGGCTACAATGAATCTTGAAGTTACCTTGTTGTTCGGTAGTTACAGTACAGTACAAAATACAGTATCTTTGGCATATGCATAATTCAAACAAATTTACATGGGTTTTTGTTCTAATAGTTGCACGATTGCTTTGTCTGTTTATTTTTTTTACTTTTAAGATACGGTCTAGATAGAGGTTATGTTATTATACCCCACGCAACGAGTTGCGGAGGGTATAATGTTTTTGACCCGTCCGTCCGTCTGTCCGTCCGTCTGTCCGTCCGTCCGTCCGTCCGTCCGTCCGTCAGTCCGTCAGTCCTATTTCTTGTCATCGCAACTCCTCTCAAACCACACAACAGAATTTCACGAAATCTTTTTAGATAATAAGGACATACTATGTAGTTGTGCATATCGACAGGAAATTACGATTCAATTTTTTTTCTAGGAGTTACGCCCCTTTGAACTTATATACTTTAATGTACTACTGCAACAGATTGTCATCGCAACTCCTCTCAAACCACACAACAGAATTTCATGAAACCTTTTCAGATAATAAGGACATACTACGTAGACGTGTATATCGACAGGAAATTACGATTCAATTTTTTTTCCAGGAGTTACGCCCCTTCGAACTTATTTGCCCAATATACTACTGCAACCTTTTGTCATCGCAACTCCTCTCAAACCACACAACGGAATTTCATGAAACCTTTTCAGATAATAAGGACATACTACGTAGATGTGCATATCGACAGGAAATAACGATTCAATTTTTTTTCCAGGAGTTACGCCCCTTTGAACTTATTTGCCCAATATGCTACTGCAACCTTTTGTGATCGCAACTCCTCTCAAACCACACAACAGAATTTCCTGAAACTGTGTAGATAATAAGGACATACTATGTAGATGTGCATATTGACAGGAAATTATGATTCAATTTTTTTTTCTGATACAATTTTTTTTTCTTACACTTATTTTATTTCTCCAATGACAATGTGGGGACGTGGGGTATGTGACCGCGCTCACTAAGGGTCTTTAATTATGGCATGTAAAATGATTTAACCCAACACAAGTAGGTGCCTGTACAAGCTCAGGTAATCTGGACAATCATTTGATCGTTGTGTTGTTGTTTATATTTCTGTATACGTATATTGCCTGAGTTGAACGAATTTGTTTGGTGTCTGTAATCCTGTCTATGTGATATCAATAAGTACCTAAATACTAAATTGCTTTTCGGCCAAAAAGGCTGGGAACAGCTTTGTCTATTTCGATTGTCCTTTCATTTTTAAAAGCTCTTATTGTCCGTAAATGATTGACAAATTTAACTTTAATTTGCTGCAAACAATGGTTTCATTATGGAAGATAACATTTTCGGACAAACATAATAGCTGCGAAAATGTAAAAAGTAAATAATAAATAGATAATAGATATACAAAGAAAATTCAAAGAAAATTCAAAGAAAACTACTGTTTTAAACAGAGAATAATTATTGCATTAAATATTAAACCATCTAATAGGATACATTCTACAGCAAATGTTCAGGTTTTATTGGAGTTTAATATATGCTTGCTCCTTTTGTGAATAATAGTGAGCTTCCGTTCAAAGAGACACTTCATTAATCATTTAATTAACAGACTCCTGCTGTGTTTAAGTCTGACAACTTCAAAGTAGGACGTATACTGGTTTACCTTTGATCGCCCGTTAGTATCACACTTTTGCTGCATTTTTTCCTCAAAATTTAAATAAGAACTTCTTTATTTTAGTAGTAACGTTTCATATTTGTAAGCTTTACCGTGCGGCAAATTTTCAGGTGCGTCTCTAATCTACTTTCGACCTCCCTCAATCGTTTACTACTTTTAATATTTTTCACAGCAACCACAAATCAAAGATTTTTGGTATCTGGTATCAATCATTTATTTACATCGATAAGCTTAACCGTTCGACTTATTCTTGTATATGTCATTAAATCTACTTCTGGGTGACTGCATACTTGAATATTCTTTAATTTTATGCATAAAACATGGTGCATTTTTATCAGTAATAACAAATCATAACTTCTTGATATTTGATTGTGTTTAATATTGGTTAGTTACACTAAGGACATATATATGTGTTTTCTTTTTCCTAATTAATGATGTTAATTGATATAAAATTTTCTTTCACTCAAACATGAGGGTGGGGGTATATCAATGAATAGTACCTCACATCTTGTTTGTAATGGCTTGATGTTTTGCAGTAAAAAACATTTTGGTTTGTGTAACTTTGTTTGATTTATTACAAAAAGAGGCGAACGATACCTAGGGGACATTTAAAATTTTAATTGTAATATTTATGTATTGAGAACCTGTCAATGAAAACAGTATCTTAATAACACCATTTGTTTAATATCGAAATTGTTTCTAAATCTAGGACACAAAAATAAAGATGTCACGATAAACATCAACAAATAATTGGATATTTCATAGTTAGTCAGTTAAATTTGTATTATTTCATTTTGATATTTTTTTAGTAAATGATGAAGTATTTCATTATACATATGCATATTTGGTTTACTTAATGTTATCACAATGTATTATTGAATTATGCAAACTGAAAAGACGTCCTTCATGCACAATATAATACATAACAAATCTTTTTTACAGTCTCTCAACAACGGAACGGTTTTATATATAAATCTAAAGAATTCAATTAATTATTACGCCAAATAAGGTCAAAATATTTGTAAAAACTAATTAAACTTCAGAGAAAAACATATTCACAACATACATGTATATCCTGATCATGGTTTAATCACTTTGATGTATCTTTCTTAAATCATACGGAGAAAAAAAAAATACATTGCACATTTGTTAAGAACTTGATATTTAAATAATGAATTACAATTGTTTTCTCATGGGAATATTTTAATTGGTTTAACTGATGTTTTTGTGTCGTTTTTGTTTAAGTGTACTAAATTCGCCAGAACTGAAACTGTCTTTGCCTGCAACAGGTGTCAACATACATGTATAGTGGGGTTCGTGTTGCTCAGTCTTTAGTTTTCTATGTTGTGTTTTGTGTACTGTTGTTTGTCTGTTGGTCTTTTTCTTTTTTTAGCTATGACATTGTCAGTTTATTTTCGACTTATGAATTTAAATGTCCCTTTGGTATCTTTCGCCTCTCTTTTAGAACCACTGGGTCGATATATCTGCTGGTGGACATTTTGTCCCCGAGGACATTATCCGCCCAGTAGCATAATATGCATTAATGTACGAAGATCAAACAGAATACAGGCTGGGACGTCGCCCAGTATAAAAAGGTCCGAAACAGACGTCACGATGGACACGGTGTCGTCTGATATGGCAGGTGTCCCCTCGTCACCAGACATGACAAATATCCCTAACATGACACATTCAGATCATCATACTAATGACAACAGCAATAATCTACGTACGCAACCGTGTTCAATTATTCTACAAGACATTTTGAATTTTAATGGCTCTGAACAACACTGTCTCATTACGAAATGTAAAACCAAAAACTGCAAAACCTGTAAAATTTTAATAACAGCTGCTCAATTCACTAGCAATTTAGCTATAAAGTCTTATTTTACCAGAATCTACGATGATCTGAATTGTAAATCAACAAAAGTCGTCTACGAATTAGAGTGTAACCTTTGCGGATTGGTATATGTCGGTGAAACAAAAGGAAGGCTAAATAAACGTATGTGCAGTCATAGATCAGACATCAACAACAACGATGACGACATTGGTTACCAGCATTTTAACCAGCCTGATCATTCAATATTTCTATGCAAGTTCGCATCATCGAAACAAATATACCACAGGACTAACAATCCTCATCTTGCAACACC